TTGCGATCGCTATAGTGATTCGCAAAACAGTGATTCCTATGGGGGAATTTCGCTGGACAATGTTTGGTCCCTGCTTCGCAAACCGATTTTTGCTAGACGACGATTTTGACAGTTCCCTCGACGCTCGCAAAACAGGTGTTTTCGGGATCTAAGCTTCGCAAGACAGTGATTTAAACAGATGATTGGCGGTTCGCAAAGCGGCTTTCCTATGGCCGATCTTCGCTAGACAACGACGGTTCTTCCCCATTGGACACCCGGGGGGGGGCTTCCGGCTTGTCTGTTGCAGGCTATCTCCCTGGGCAGCGTTCCTCTGGCTCCTGGTGACCGAGAAGGAAGGAAGGAAAGAGGGAAGGATGTTTCACGGGATCCCAGCCACTCCTGGGATGGGAGGCAAGTTCTTTGGGTCTCACGGGATCCCAGCCACGCCTGGGATGGGAGGCAAGTTCTTTGGGTCTTGGGGGACACACAGACACACACACACAAGCAAATGGCAAAACAGTCGGAGGAGGGAGGCAGAAACACGCTCAGACACCAGCAAATGGCACAACTGTCGGAGGAGGGAGGCAGAAACACGCTCAGGCTCCAGGGCGGATCCACACTCGGACCACGAAAGCGTGCCCGTCGGTTTGTGGGGCTGTGGCCGGAGGGGGTGTCCCGGAGCCGGAGCCCCATCTGCCTCGCTTCCGGACTCCCTGCCCCTGGCCTGGCTCCGTTCTGAGGTGGGGAAAAGGGTGCAGAATGGCACAACTGTCGGAGGAGGGAGGCAGAAACACGCTCAGGCTCCAGGGCGGATCCACACTCGGACCACGAAAGCGTGCCCGTCGGTTTGTGGGGCTGTGGCCGGAGGGGGTGTCCCGGAGCCGGAGCCCCATCTGCCTCGCTTCCGGACTCCCTGCCCCTGGCCTGGCTCCGTTCTGAGGTGGGGAAAAGGGTGCAGTGCCTCTCCCTGTGGGGTAGAGCGGGAGGGCATCCCAGGCTGGCTTGTCTCAGGATCACGAGAGGTGTTTAGCGCTGTCCTCTGAACAGGCCCATGGCCACAGAGAGACGGGCGAAACGCTAGGAAGAACAAACTTCAGAACAAAGAGCCAAAGAGCCCGGAAAACCCACAACAACCACTTTTAGAAAGCCTTGAGTCTGCCTTTGCTCATCCGTTTCTGTCCCCTTTCCTTTCCAGCCCCAGGAAATAAGCCAGAACTCTACGAGGCAAGTGACATATTGCTTTTTAGCAAGAGCTGTTAACCTCTTGGTGGAACTCAGGACGAGTGGGTTGTTTGCAGCCTGGTTACGGGCGGGGAGGGTGGGGGCAGGATTTCAGATGCTTCCCCTTGCGTGACCAGCAATGGGTCGCTTCTCTCCAGATGGACAGGGGCTCCTCTGAAGGCCATGGGAAGGGGTGGGGGTCAAGTGGTTCCTGTCCACATCTTTTGTAGGGTGCAGAAATCAAGTGGGTGCAACATCTCCATTCTCCCTTGCAGGAAGTGAAGCTGTACAAGAACGCCCGGGAGCGAGAGAAGTGAGTACCTCCTCCCTCGACATCCAGATCTGTTGCTTGTGTGAAGGGCTCTCAGGCTTCAGGCTGGGTGGAGGATGCCGTTCATTGAGGCTCTGAAGAGAGAGGGGTGGCCACGGTGGAGCAACGCAGCTGGAATTCATAAGGTTACCACCTCTGTGCCCAGCGAAGGTTCCCGTCCCCACAACGTCCAAAGGGGACCGACCGATATTCAGGAGGCGGGAGGTCCTGTCGCCCAAGAAAGCCCCTTTTTTTCTCAGGGAAAAGCCCGTTAGGGGCAGGCAGGCCTTCCGCCCACAGACTCCACTTTGGTTTTAGGTACGACAACATGGCCGAGTTGTTTGCTGTGGTGAAGACCATGCAGGCTCTGGAGAAAGCGTACATCAAGGACTGCGTCACTCCCAGCGAGTGAGTCGTGGGGCGCTGGGAGCGAGGGGCACTCCCTCAAGAACGCTTGCCTTTTACTGGGGGGGGGGAGAGTAAATGTCCCAGGGGCTTTTATGGAGGAGGGGACCATTTGCCCCAACGTCTGTTGACAGCCTGCAAACGAGGGGGGGAAGGACTGCACTTTGGCTGGCCTGGTGGGAAGGTCGGGACTTGCCAGGCCCTTTCGGGAAGGCTCTTTCCATCCTCTGCTAGGCAGGCAGGCAGGCTCCTTCCCCTCTGTCTTGTGGGCGCTGGCGCTCCCTGTATCTCTTTATCATCCTCATGCAGGGCAGGAGCACGTTGAGCCACTGTGGGCAGAAGGGAAGCAGGCAGTGGGCCACCTGCTTCTGCTGCTGCTGAGGGTCTTCTTCCTCCCTCCCTCCCTCCCGGCAGGTACACGGCTGCCTGCTCTCGCCTCCTGGTCCAGTACAAGGCGGCCTTCAAGCAGGTGCAAGGGCTGGAGATCAATTCCATCGATGATTTTTGTCGCAAGTTTCGGGTGAGCAGATGTTGGCCAGAGGTGGTGTGGGGAGCCAAAGGGGAGCTGGCGTGAGGGACACAGGGGCTGCCGGCCGGGTGGGCCCAGAGCGGCCGCTGTGCTACAGACAAGGCTGAGTTCTCATCCCCGGAACCAAACGGCCAAAGAGGCCTGGTGCTTCTGCTCTCCATTTCTGGGATCACACCGTGGGGGGGGGGGGGACAAGGCTGAGTTCTTGTCCCTGGAAGTGAATGGCCAAAGAGGCCCAGTGCTTCTGCCCTCCGATCTCTAGGGACCCCCTGTGGCTCATCTTGGCTCCCCCATCCCTATTGAAACCTCCTTACAGCTGGACTGCCCCTTGGCGATGGAGAGGATCAAGGAGGACCGGCCCATCACCATCAAGGACGACAAGGGCAACCTCAACCGCTGCATTGCGGACATTGTGTCGGTAGGTTGGGGGAGCAGAGCAGAAAAAAGGTTGCGTGACCGCCCGTCCCCCCTCTTTCCTTTTTTGGTGGGTCTCGCCCTGCACCCGGTCACAGCTCTGGCTGACCAGAAGGTGGTTTTCCTTTCCAGCTCTTTATCACAGTGATGGACAAGCTGCGCTTGGAAATCCGGGCCATGGATGAGGTGAGAGCGGCATTGTCTCAGTTGGTTTCAAGGACGCCGCCTGGCTCCTTAGGAGTCAACGGTCCACTCCAGCACCCACCTGCATGCTTGCAGTGGGGGAGACGGTAAGGGGGGGAGGCAGAGTGGGAAGGCCAGCAGCATCTACTCCACTTTCCTCTCCTCTCCTTCAGATCCAGCCCGATCTCCGGGAACTCATGGAGACCATGAACCGCATGAGTCACTTGCCCCCAGACTTTGAAGGCCGGCAGAAAGTGAACCAGTGGTGAGTTTTCCCTTCTCGGGAGCAGGACCTCGGTGGCTGGGCGCGAGCCTTCCCACACCCTGCTGCTTTCTCTTGCGTCCTCGGCCCTTCTTCCCTTCTCAAGCGGAGAGGGGTGTCAAGGGCTGTGGCACGACTGGGTCAAGCCACAAGCTTGGTCACGCATTTATTTTGGCTTTTCTGTCCAAGGCAGGCCAGAAGGGCCTTAGGGACCTCTCCTGCTCTCCCCTTCTCTTCCTGTCACTTCTGTCCAGGTAGTAACTGGCCTGTGGCCTCGCTCGTGGCCTTTCCTGGTCTATTTGCCCCATGTGCCCGTTTCCTTTCCCGTGGGTCATTTGCCAAGAGGTCCCCCTTTTCTCCATCATCACCCACCCCATATTGATGAGTAGAACCGTTGAAAGAGCCTGGAGAGGCCAAGGGACCAGCCCTCCTCCTCCTCCTCCTCTCTCACGCGATGGCTCCTTTTTCTCCCTTTCCAGGCTGCAGACCCTGAGCGGGATGTCGGCTTCTGATGAACTGGATGACTCCCAAGTCCGACAGATGCTGTTCGATCTGGAATCGGCCTACAATGCCTTCAACCGCTTTCTGCACTCGTGAGGACGATGCCGGGGCTGGACTGGAACCGTGGCCGAGACGGGTCCCTCTTTGATGTCAACAGCCCAACCGGTGGCTACACGGAGTCAAGCGGCGAGGAGGCCATGGTGCAGGGCGTCGAATGTACAGGCCTCCCGTTGCCCTTTTGTTGACTGGGACCCTTCTTGAAAAAAGAGGGTCTTGTTTGTGTTTAAGCTCTATTGTTTTTCTGTTAGTTCTTTCATTGCATCATATTTGTGCTCACAGTCTCACAGGGGGAAACAGGGAGGGTCCACGGAGGGTTCAGCGGCTGCCTCTCGCCGTCAAAGGGCGACCGTGGTGGTGCCAGGGAATGCCCCAGAGGGGCCTGTATTTATTTGGGTCTTGCTTTCACCTCAGAGAGGCAAACCTCAAGAGGGGTGAAGCAAATAAATCCTCTTTCTACACTAAGCCATGACGACGTGAGCCAAATTTCATTCCTAAGCAGACACATGCTTCGGAAGAAAGGGGGTGGAGGGAATCCTCAAGCCCCCCGTTTCCTTCTCTACCTTCCTCCCACTTCCGAAAGCGAATGGACCAAAAACCAAGACACCCCCCCCTCCTTTGACCCTGTTGCCGAAAGAAAGAGGCAGCATCTTGGGCAGTGAGGCGAAAGGCTTGCATTCAATAAATAAGGGAAAGGCCGAAGCCTTACAGAGGTGGGTAGGTGGGTTTTGTTTTTGTTTTTGTTTGCTGTTTCCAGGCAGCAGAAAACGCAAAAAGAGTATGTTACAGGGACACACAGCAGCCTTATCTGTTGCAATTCACTCCCTGCTCTCCCCGTTGAGACCTGCAGTTCCCAGTTACAGAAGCAAGCAGACATTGTTCACTTCAGGAGAGTTAGCCAGGGGGGGGGGATCAGGATGAAGCCCCTCTCTGGTCGTTGTCACCACCCCCACCAGCCTCCTCTCCTTCCCTTAACGCGCCTCCTTTCACGACACGCGAGGGAGCCGGTCACCCAGTCCTCCACTTTCCGCTGGGTTCTGCTTGTCACAAGCAGGATTTAGGAGGCCCCCGTGAGATCCCAGGAAGGGCCACCAGTGAAGCCACGTGGAGCCGCCCAAGTTTGCATACACACACGTCTGGCCTTGGGCAGCCACTCCAAGGCAAGGAATCCTGCACGCGGCTGGGGAGGGGGGGCTCTCATTTCCCAAGTGGCTGGGAACTGGGCGGTACCAGGGCAAGGTTCAAGACCCGCACTAGGGCAGGCACTGGCAGAAGAGCTTGTGGTGCCGTGTGACGGAGCGGAAGGAGGTGCCCGCCGGGCCACGCCATAACGCTGCCACGTCTTGCTGGTCGTCTCGGCTGAGGCGGCGACTGCAGAGCTGCAGGCGGCACACCCGGGCGGAGAGCTTGGTCCAGGCCAGGTGGTCCAGCGGGCCTTCCACAGAACAACCTAGGAGAGAGGACGGCAAGATCGCCGGTCAGCTTGAGCTCAGCACCCCTCGCGAATCCTGCCTCTCTCGGGCTCCTCCAGGCCAGCCGTAGCCCAACCCCCCTCTTCCTCCAAGGACTGCTCTCTCTCTCTCTCTCTCTCTCTGTCCTGCTCTGAGTTTTGCCACCACCCAGGAAGAGCAGCGGTGGCAGACCTGGTAGGTGTTTGTCCTGCCCTTCCTCAAAAACACCCCAGTTGCCCACAGAAACTGCTCATGCTCTCTCTCTGAATTCTTCTTTAAAGCATGGCCTAACGTGAGAGACCACCCGATCCTGGATGATCGTGAAAGGCGAAGACTTGGCGCCTGGAGAAAAGGGTCCTTTCCTAAAACACCTTCTGGCCAAAGGCTTGTGTTTCCCTGAGAGAGCAAGAGCGAGCCCCCCGTGCTGGTGGTAGGGGCAGAGGTCATGGCTCCCTACTTCAACAACATTTCCAGCTATGGCTCTGGGGGCCAGCATGGACCAGTTAACAGACAGACGGCAGCAACCCTTCCAGGCGAAAGGCAGGATCCAGCTGGGCCCTTCTGTTGGGGGAGGGAGGTAACCCCCCCCCAGGGGGGAAGCAGAGGGGGTCAGCTGCGCACTCACCTGCCAAGCCCAGGAACTGAAGGCCAGGCGTCCTCTCCTCCAGGGCCAGCAACAGCGTCCGGAGCCCCACAATGCTGACTTTGGGGTTGGCGGACAAATCCAGAGAGACCAGAGATGGGCAAACAGGGAGGCACCTGAAGAGGGAACACCAGAGAAGAGAGAGAGAAAAAGAGACACCACCCCCCCCGGGGTCCTCTAGCCATCCATCCATTGCTTACTGTGATCGAAGCAAGGAGCCTGAGCAGGAGGAGTGGCAGCTTGGGTCCTCTGGCCCTTTCTGTGAGCTCACCCACCCACACCCAGGAAGCGAGCCTACGGCAGCCACCGAGAGCTTGCCTGTGTGCTGAGAGCCCCCCCCCGCCCCCAATCCCTTGACCTGGAGGGCCAGACCCACTTCCCCCACGGCCCAGCCTGGTGTTGCTTGAAAGAGAGAAAAAGAAAGGGAAAAAAAAACCCAGGAGTGGCTGCATTCAGCTCCTCTCTGCAGAAGAGTTTCACAGGGTGGGGCTGCCGGTCCTTGGAAAACTGTCTCTCCAGCCTTTGGGGAATCTATGACTAGAGGGGAGCAGGCACACGCACACGCACACACCCGAAGCCTTAGGGAGTTTAGGCTGGAAGGACCCTCCTTACCTGGCCAGTTCTGCAACACCGTCGTCATCCAGGTGGTTCCCAGAGCAAGTCAGGTGAGTGAGAGCACAGCCTTCCTGCGTCCAAGGAAGAAAGAAAAGGGGTGGCCGAAGCTTGTCTTCCGTGTTCTCCAGCAACTGCTGAAGGGACCACGTCAGGAGGGGGGAAGGAAGGCCACCTGCCAGGGTTCACCCTCTTCCTCTACGCAGTTACAGGAAGCCCAACCTGCCACCCTATCCACTCTCGGGAGCCCCAAGGAGGAGACGGAACAGAAGGGCTGGTCTCTTCGGAGACCCCCACCTGATGATGCCCATCATCCTACCTGCGCCAGGTAGCTGGCCACAGCACGCCAGAGAGGCTGCCGGTCCTCTGCTCCGGCGCCCACCGAGCCAATCTCCAGGTGGGTGAGGGTCTTGCCAGGCAGGCTCTTCAAGAGCAGTTCAAGGCCGGAGGCGCCCAGCGCATTGTGGGAGATGGCCAGGTGGTGGAGGTGCTCCGCTTCTGAGAGAGAAGAGCCAGGCAAGGCAAAGAAGGGGTGAGGGAGGAGAACAGGGCGGATGGAAGACAGACAGACAGGCAGGAGGGAGGGAGGGAGGACTCGGGGAAAGGGGAGGGCAGGCTCCCTTTCCTAGCAAAGCGGTTTCAGTCTCATCGTGATGAGCAGAAGGAAGCAATACGCAACCGAGTGGAAGATGCGCTTCACTGAGACAGAGGGCTGGAGTGCAAGAAGCAACACCCCCCCCCAAGAGCTCCTCTCCCCTCTTCCAGTGAAGCCAGACGCTTGCCCTCCCTGGTGCAGGCATGCAGGCTCGGTTCCTCTTACCGTTCAGGGCACTAGCCAGCAGGAGGCGGTAGTGCTGCAGAAAGGCGGGGGTGAGGCCGCAGGCTTGCAGCTTGAGGGTGCTCAAGAGGGGACACGCCTGGACCAGGGCGGCCACGGGCTGGCAGCTGCCGTCACCCAAGGGGTTCACGCTGAGGTCCAGCCATTCCAGGCTCTGAAACGAGGGAGGGGGCAAACAGAAGACCGGCCGCTTGGCATCAAATTGAAGACAGGAGGGAAAAGGATAGAACGCCAGACAAGATGGCAAGCGGCCGAGGTCTCCGGCTGTAGAGCCAGAGGTTGGAAGTTCGATTCCCGCCCCCCCCGGGGCCTCCTTGAGAGGGAGCTGGACTCCATGATGCAGGGGGGCCCTTCTTCCAGCTCAGCCGTTCAAAGGTTATAAGCAGGGTGGGGAGGCACCTCTCAGGTAGCAGCACCTGAGAAGATCGGACTGTCGTTCAAAATGCCCAATAACCTATGCTTTCATTTTAAAGAGGACTTAAGCATCTATTCCTCAGGGTGGTGTAAGATAGGGTATAGAAACATGACGGCAAAAGGACCGAGCTATCCGCCAAACATGGGCAAAGAAGACTGGAGAGAGAAAAATCAGAGTAAAAGAAAAGAAAAAGGAAAATACAATGAAAATGAGAGTGATGGGAAAATGTGGCCAGTTATGTGGAAGACATGGCATCGTCTGCAAAAGGCACCTCCTGTTCAACCAGTGAAGCCCCCTCTCTTGATTGCCAGTCCCTGCCCCTCCCCGGATAAAGTCCTGAAATAGTTTTTGTGCACCCATCTGGCCCCAGGGGCCCTCCCGGTCCAGCTTCCCCAAAGACCTCAAACCACCCCTGCCATCGCGTGACCCGCCTCCCTCCCGGCCCTACCTGGAAGGTGCTGGGCCCTGCCGGGCCAGCCACCAGCTTGCGCAGCCCCTCGGGGCCCAGGCGGTTCGCCGAGAGGTCCAGCCGCTTCAAGCCGGGCATGGTGCGGATGCTGGCCAGCAGCTCTTCGGCCGAGTCATCTCCAAGGCCCGTCCCAGGGAGGAGCAGCTGCTGGATGGAGGTCTGCAACTTGAGGGCCCGGAGGAGCGGGGCCAAGTGGCGCGGGCGCAGGGCCAGGCCAGAGGCGCTGAAGACTGGGCCACCTTCCTGTCTCTCCAGCATCTTCAGGAGTAGCCGGTGCTCCCCTGCGAGCCAGACGTTGGGAGCAAAGTGAGACAGGTCCCCCCCCACATGCTTCATCAGGGGCCAGAGCCTGGCAAGCTGGCCTGGCCACCCCAACCCACAGCACCCAGGAGAGAAGATGGGGAAGGGGGCCGCAGGCCGAGGGCAGGGAGGAAGCCCCTCCTAAGAGACCTCCCCGCTCCACCTTGATGGGCCAGGGGGGGTTGGATTTAAATCGATCCAAATCATGATTTAATATTTTAATTCACAATTTAAATATATTAACAACTGGATTTGACCATTTAAATTAAAACTTTTTTTTTAAAAAAAAATTAAATCATGGTTTAAATTGTGGTTTGTTTTTAAAATGCCACAGAGAGAGCCTCCCCTGCACCCCCCAGCCCCCGGGGACAGAAGGGCCGCTTACCCCCAGGAAGGCTCTGGCAGGCCTTGCGGTACCTCTCGGCCAGCGGCGGCAGGTCCCAGGACTGCACCTCCGCCAACACCTGCCAGGGAAGAGAGGGCGCTGGAGGGTCAGCAGGGGACATGCAGGCATGCGCACCCCCCTCCTCCACTCAAAGCCTCTTGACCTTGACCAGGAGCCTCCAAAGGGCCCTTGCACATGAACCGGCCGCCTCCTGCAGACCCAAGTGACCCGTTCGGAGGCAGGACGAGGCGGTGGATGCCTGAGCAAGAGGCAGCCCCCACGGACCGGGGGTTCCCGGCCTTCTTCTCTCCAGCCACTCACCTCCTCGTTACTTTGCAGGACGTCCACAATTCGGTCTTGGGGTGCCAGGAGGGCCCCTTCCTTCTGCAGGGTCAGGCGTGGCAGGAGACCGCAGGCCTGGTAGTAGCGCTGGGAAGCCTGCTCCGCCAGCCAGGCCACGGGGTGACTCTCAGAGCCGCTGCGAGGAAGGAGAGAGAGGAACGCTGCAGGAGGCCGGGCCCTTTCCCAGCCTTCTCAGGAAGGTCAAGACGGAACCCATTTAAGAGCGATCCAAAAGGGGGCTCAAGGGAAATGAGAGGCTGGATTTTGCCCGTCCTTAGCCCTGACATTCTTAGAACTTGCTTCCCAGCAGGCGCTCGGACACACTTGCAACACAGATGCCAAGCGGGAGATGACAGCTTTTCACATCCAGGTCACATTCAGCAAGAAAGAGGGAAAGGTCAGAGGGAAAGGGGGACAGAGATCCTTTATCCGCCCCAGAGTCCATCTGCCCCCCCCCCCTGCAAACATCTCATGGTGAATGGTGAGCCCTTCACTCTGTTTTGGACTTCCACGACCAGAATTCTCCAAGAATCCCCCAGGCATGTTTCTGGGAGTTCCAGCCCATCAATACAGATCGCTCCGGGCGCCTTCATTTCACTCGCCTGGACAAGGCCGTGGCCTCCGTCTAGGTCTCCACTTCCTGCCGTAATGCTCGCTGGGAGCGGTGGTCCTTCAAGGGACCACCTCTGCAGACCATCAAGGGCAATGAAACGGTCACCCCCAGGAAGCGTTGCAGAAGGAAAGGAAAGCCGTCAAGAGACATTTAGAGACAATCACCTGGCAGAGCTCCTTTGCCCTGGATTCCTGCTTTGAGCCCAGGGGGTTGGACTCAATGGCCTCCGAGGCCCCTTCCAACGCCCTGATTCTATGACTCTAGGGTGGCCCTGTACCATCAGTTGCCCATACCAGCCATGCAGTCTAGGCAGGGCTCCCAACACTAAAAACTGTTGCAGAAGAAGGACAACAGCCCAATCAATAAAGGGCAGCAAAGGTCAGAGAGACGGGAACCAGGCGGTGTGGAGCAGAGTCACCATGGACAGGGGGAAATGTGGACCCAGGAAGCTTGAGCATGGATTTACACCAGAGGCTGGAGGCGACCGGAGTCACTTTGCTTCAGGCACTGCTTGTCAACAGAAGCTGGACCCTGGGTGAGACAGGCCCTCAGGTGGGTCTGGCAAAAGGATTCTCAAGGATCAAGCAAGAGAGACCCCCCCAAGGGGCAGAGCAGCCCCCCCCCACTCCACCCTTACCTGTGCGGCACAGGGATGAGGAAGACGTTATCTTGCACCTTGACTCGCACCCGAATCGGGGGGAGAGGAGTCGGGAGCTGCAGACAGGAAACAAAACCGGCACCAAGGAGGCGGTGGGTTCTTTCTCCGACGCACCTACACGGCTGCCAAAGGTCCCCAAAGAAGCAGGCTCCCCCCCGACCCCCATTTCATCCTTTCCCTTCTGTGCGGGAGGGAAGCGAGTCGCCCCTTGAGTCAGAGAATCCCCACACGGGGGTCGGCTGCCTGTTGGGACCCGTCTTGTCCCTAAAACGACAGAGCTCAAAGGGCCCCAAACTGCTCCGCAGGGCTGCAAGCCGGTGGCAACCTCACCTGCCTGAGCCCGGGGGGTGGGCTTTCTCCATCCACAGCTGCCACCCCATTGACCCGGCTGGCCCCAGCGGCTGCCCCACACAGGTTGCTGGGATCCGTCGTCGGTTCGGGGGCCTCCACCACACATGCCCCTCGGATCCTGCCCAGAGGAGTTCTGTCCACCATCAGGGTGAGGCGACTCTGCCTGGCTTTCCGCCGATTCTTCCGGACCACCGCCGGGGATTGGCCGGGAAGCCCATCGCCACGGATCTCCCGCTCCGGACTTCCCTCGGACTCCGAGCCCGATTCCCGGGCTGGGTTCCGCCGGCTTCTTTTGCGGGAGGAGTTGGGGTTCAGGGCCAGGTCGTCCTCCAGCCAGTTGTCCCCCACGTACTCCTCCTGGGGGATGAGGGCTGGTTTGGCAGGGAGCCTGGCCTGCTCGGGGCTCCGTGGGGGGCAGGACTGAGCGCTGCCCACCCCCCGTAGGGCAGCCTGGTACTCAGCTGGGGCGACCAGCCTGGGCCCCTCCGGCTCAACCGAACCCAGGGCCCACATCCTTCCTTCCCTCTGGCCGAGCAGCCGCGGCCTCTTCTTGACAGGCCTCCGCAGAGTCGTCTCCTCCTCCTCCTCCTCTTCCTGCCTGGGCTGGTTCCACCGGGGACTTGGAGGGGCCTCTCCGCCGGACTCTGGAGGGCTGCAAGCCTGAGGCCCCGAGAGTTCTGCATCAAAGAGTTCACTGTCCGGCTGCTCTCGGGGAGGCACTGGCCCAGCACCTAGAAGGGAAAAACCAGAAGCCATCTCACTGCCAAGAGCAGAGGCTTGGAACAGGACGAAGCCAAATGGAAAGGTGGACGGACACACGGCTGTCACAAAAGCAGCCTGGCCATTCCACCCGAGACCCACTCTCTCTCGGAGGTGCAGCAGCTCCTGAAGCCAGGACGCCCGCTTGGCAGGGCTTCCCCTGCACCAGGGGCGCCCGAGACTGAGGGCCCCCAATTCCCACTGCATGAGCCCTTGGCTCTTCCTCCCTGGGGGTCCTGCAAGAGGCCCGGAGCCAGCTTTGAGCAGGGGTGCTCCTCTCTACGCTTCTGCAAACTTCAGAGATGTAGATCTTTGTTGAAGCCAAATCAGAGCTAAGGGTCAGAGAGCCCTCATATCACGCACCTTCCCTGATGCTTGTGAAGCGTTGCTCTCATATCACGCACCCACTGCTTGCTACCGCTTCCTGGGAAGTCTCCCAGAAAAAGGAAAGACAGACTCTAGCAGATTAGGCTCAAGAGAGCACAAGAGAGCACCTTCCCTGATGCTTGTGAAGCGTTGCCAGGACCAGTGCCGTCTCCCTCTCTCCCTCCCCCCCCCGTAGTGCCAAGCCACCGCCCATCCTCTGCCCATCCTCACCTCGACCCGCCATGGCCTCCTGGAGGAGGCTCTCCATGGCCTTGCAGCGCTCACGCGTCTCCCGGTCCAGATCCTTGCCATAGAGCTGAACCCATCCCTGCAGCGTGCCGAGAGGAGTCTGGCCCTAAGGTGCAGGGGGGGAAAAGGGGGGCGAGGATCAGGGTGGGCGTTGGCACCCCAGAAACAGCAGAGCCCTCCTCCTTCCCTGGCCAGCACCAGCGTCTGCAAGCAGAGCAGCCAAAGAGGCCAGAGGGAGTGCAAAAACTTTAGAGAGCAGGACCAGCCAGAAGGGCAGATCTACTCCAAAGGGGCTGAGACCCTGCCAAAATGGAAGTCATACCCTGCGGGGGGGGAAGGGCTCAAGGAGGCTAATTGGCAATGGGCACGTCTTTCCTCTTCCTCTTGTTGCCCAAGAGCTGGGGCTTCATCATGCAGCCTCCCCTTTCGAGGGCTGTGGGCATCCAGGGAGGAGGAAGAGGAGGCGGCAGTAGCAGCTGGGGTGGGGAGGGGGAGAAGGCCTAACGACCACCCTGGCAAAGTACTCTCCCCTCTAAGCCCACCACCACCCCTGCCCTGATCCCCTCCCCAGTCCCTTCCCTCCAGGAGGACCCGCGAAGACCCTCCACCCTGCCCACCCCAGGTGTCAGCCCACCCAGCACCTCACCTTGGCGTTGCGGAGGAGTGCAGACGCCCCCCTGTGGATCAGGAGCTCTGCCACATCAAAATGGCCGCAGTTGAGGGCGTCGTGCAGGGGGGTGATGCCCTCGCAGCCAGGGCCCCCGGGATCGTCCTTGGCCGCCCCGTGGTCCAAGAGGAAACGCACCACCTCTGCAGGAAGAGTCCCAAAGGTTTGCCTTCAAGACAGCCTCCCCCACTCCCCCCCAGGAGCAGCTTCAAAAAGCTCTGGCGTTCCTACCCCCCCTCCTCAGTGTTCCCCACAGCCCACCACTCACCGAGGTGCCCATGGTTGCAAGCCTCATGCAGTGGGGTCCAGCCACAGTAGTCCCGGGGGTTCAGAGGGTGCCCCTGGTGCACAGATGCAAAAAAGGGCCTGCGTCAGGGGGTCCCAGAGCCTTTGAGGGGGGAGCACGACCCGGATTCCTCACACCGCCCCCCCCACCTTCTCTCCGCTTTCCCTCCTTCAAAGGACGAGGATCTGGGCAAGGGACGGAGCAGGAAGGACGGCTGCCCTCATCTGGCCAAGGCAAGACCTCTGCTCCGCCCCACCTGAGCCCAGTCCCTGGGGAGGCCCCGAGCGTTGGGCCCTGGGAACCGACTCAGCTTCCAGGCCACAGGCAGGTCCTCCCCTCCTCTACCTCCAGTTCGGCTCAGGCCCTGCAACCTCCTTCTCATCACAGGATTCGGAGGGCAGGCAGGAAGCATCCCCTAAGCTGGCTTTCATGACCCAGGGAAGACCCGGACCACGTCCGTGTTGAATTGCCCGGCCCTGCTTGGAGGGTCAACCTCAGAACGCGAGTCTCACGGATCAGACAGGAGAACATCCTCAGGCCCAGAAAGCTGGAGGGCAGG